GAAAAATTTTAGCCACCTGAAAGACAAAGATCCCTTATACTTGACTAAAATTTAATTGAAAAGACTGAGTCGGCACACAAATACTACTCCTATGAAACCTACATGAAGAAAGCTACAAATCTACATTGACAAGGCTTAAAACTCAGCTTTTAGTGTGGTTCAAATTGCATAAGAATCAGTCAGCTCATTATAGTTTCTGATACTGGTTTGGACTTCTTGTTCAGTTTCCATTAAAAAAGCACTACAAAATCCAATCCCAGTTGGGTACACACGCACAATTTTAGGAAGACTTACTAACTGGAATTACTACCAATTGCATATGACCCTAAGTGCACTTAAAAGATTCAAGCATCAAAACTGCACTCAAATTTAGCAGTACAATATTTATCACTGATAAATTACTTCAGTATCAGAGTATTTGCAATTCATTTAAACAGCAGAAGACTCCTAACATCTTCTCATAGGTTCACAAAGGCTACTTTTGCAAGCACCCAAATCATCATAGGTTTACATGTGACAAATATATCATTTAAAAGAATAAGACTCAGTGATTACATCTACATTGGTTTTGTGAAGCCTCTACAAAAAACTAATCCCAAAGCCAAACAGCATGGTGGAAGAGCTTATATGCACGCTATCAAGGCTAAGATCTCCTCCAGCGCATCCAGGGCCAGGGGATGGTTCCCCCCACACCAAGACAGTAAGAGAAATACAGCCCTGCACATTAAAACTTTTTAAACACTATGGCACTGGACATGTACACTGAGGATACTGTAAATACAGCGCAAGGTCGAGAAAGACATCTGAAAGCACAAGGCCTTCTCACAGCTCCTAGAGAGCTGGGGCACAGGGCCTAACCTGTCACATTACCCTCCAAGAGTGCAATGCAAAGTCAAACTGTCTTATCAGTTCTATCCACACATCCTGGAATGAAGATCCTTCCTTCACTCCTTGTGGAAGGAGGGAACATATGCACAGCAGAGATAAATATGACCACACTAAAGTGAGTGAATAAGCCGTACAGTAAAAGTCATTTGGATATATCTTAAGTCCCAATTGATTGTGCTTTGGGCAAACTAGTATTTTAAGTGCCTCAGTTTAATAAGTTCCTGTGAGCTTAGTGAAGAGATTGTGTAGTACAACTTGCACTGTGCAATCTGTTTCTTAGTTGCATTTATAGCTGCTGCTCTTACAGCTTATTGTAAATTGTCTTTAATTTCCAAAAAATCTGAATAGCAGATGTTTGTCTTGGTGGGTAGAAGCTCCAAATTACAGTTACCACTCCATTTCTTATTTTTGTTAGCATACTAATTCTAGTCCTTAATTAACAATACAAGTTATTGCTATAGCAAACATGTCTCTGTGTATATATATATATACACCCATATATATTTTTACCTTCTATATTTTTACTTTCTTTCCTTTAACTTATTCATATTATTGGAAGATCTTTCAAAAGGGATTGTTTCTTAAAAGTAATCTCTCAAACAGCAAGAGTAAGAGCCTACTCTTACTATACCACTTTCAAAAATCCCCAACTATTTCCTAAGCACACTGATGTACTGTTAAGCCAGCCCTGGGCAAACACCCTCTATGCACACACCAGTGTGAACAATACAAATTAATCACTGATGCACTTGCTCCTTTATGAGACATCTGAATTTTATGCCTTTGATAGCTGAGTGTCAACACAACTTTATTCTATTAAAGAAGAAAAAGAAAACAAGTGCACTACTGCATTGACAGAACACTCCACAAAATCTACTGAAACAGTCAGGAAGCAAACAGTATTTTCACCTTGAGAAGTGTTCAAACCTGCAAATTAATTGATCTGTAATATCATAAATCAAATGGCTCTAATTCTATCTCGTAGTTTTACCAACATATTGTTGAGCATCACATTTTCTTCCCACAAACACTTAGTTTAATCCATTCTGTCTATAAACTACCCTTTAACTTCTTAAACTAAAAAGCCCCTGAAAACTTAAACTTTTTTCCTACAGTGTAATGCCATCACACTTAGTAACCTCTAGGTTCAAAACCATATGAATTAAAGAACAGCTAAGAGGAAGAATAATTTGAAGCCATATCAACAGGTTGAAGAGATTTATGATCTGAAATGCTACACTTAAATCAAGTTGGATTATTTTTCCTCTGGGAGCATACCACTTATAGACAGACACTGTCCCTGATGCCTAGGAAAAATGTGGCATTTTAAGAAACACACTTACTGCTGGTTTCTGAAGCTTCTTTCTATCATCCTGCAGAAAAACAAAAAAAAACATTTAGACAAAAACCTAAAGCATTAAAAATCCCTATCACATTCATCACATTTACCACTACAATCTGTTTGCCACTTCCTTATATAAATACTTTCCAGTATATAAAGTGAATTCTGAGTCTCCAACATATTTATTTCTTGTACCCAAGTTTTGCATTTCCTTTGTCTCTAAGCAGTACACCATCTTAGCTTATACATTGGTTACAATCACAGTAGTTTATTTCTACCTCATCTACCCCTGCCAAAGTCATCTAACTAGTTTTGGTCCAATACCCAGAACAAGTCTTAAATTCTATGGAACTTTCACAAAATTTTACGTGAAATAGTCACATTCATTACAAAAAAGCCAACAGTATATAATCTTGATTGTTTGACATATAAATACAAAACAAACAGCTTGACACTGCTGTATCAAATGAAAACAGGCCCTTGTCAAACAAGAAAGAATTAGATTTCCAGCCCATTCAAAACAATTAGCCTGCAAGGTTACAAATGTGCAAAGTTGAATTATTTCATATTAGGAGAAGCTATACTATTAATATTTATCAAGGCAGTACCTAATACAGATACAAGATCAGGAAATTGTGAAAAATATGCTAGTCAAGACAGTGATACTCACCCTGAATGCAAGACAAAACACACACACAACAGATAGGAGAGAAAAAGAAAGAGGTAGGGCTGGGGAGCAGAGCAGATGGGCACACTAGCAGCTTAACAAGGGGGTTTTAACTATTAAGATGCAGATCATCTTAAATAACATCTAGGTGAAAGAAGCCAAGGCTGCAGCTCTGTAGCTAGAAACAGAGCCTTCAAAGCTCAAGTCAGCAAAAGGTGCTTGTTAGAAGTACAAGAAGTGGTAAGAACATAATCCACATCCTGGGATGTGTCAGGAGAAGTGTAGCCAGCAGAACAAGAGAGGTGATTCTCCCCCTTTACTCTGCTCTTGTGAGACCACTCCTTGAATACTGTGTCCAGTTTTGGTGCCCCCACCATAAGAGGGACGTGGATCTCTCAGAGCCTGTTCAGAGGAGGGCCACAAGGATGATCCAGGGGCTGGAGCACCTCTGCTATGAGGACAGGCTGCGGAAGCTGGGAGTGTTCAGTCTCTAAAAAGAGAAGACTTCAGGGGGACCTAACAGCTGCCTTCCAATACCTGAATGGAACCTACAGGAAGGCTGGGGAGGGACTTTTTACAAGAGTGTCCACTGAGAGGACAAGGGGAAATGGGTTTAAGTTGAAGGAGAATAGATTTAGATTGGACCTTAGGAAAAAATTCTTCAGTACGAGGGTGGAAAGACTTTGGAATAAATTGCCCAGAGATGCTGTGGCTGCCCCCTCCCTGGAGGGGTTCAAGGCCAAGTTGGATGGAGCCTTGAGTAGCCTGATCTAGTTGAGAGGTGTCCCTGTCCATGACAGGGAGGTTGGACTAGATGATCTCTAAGGTCCCTTCCAGCCTAGGCCATTCTATGATAATAGGAATTAACAGTGGGAACATCAACATCCATGACAACTACTAGCAGGGAACACTGATACAGCTCAAGACAGGTGGAGCCAGAGAGAGGGAAGACAGAGCAAACTAGAAGATGCTTACAGTAGACATTTTCTAAACATACATATGAAGAGCCAGGATTGTACTTTTAGATCAAGACAGAAGCCCAGCATATATATATATATTTTTACAATGATGAAAGAATGAAACCAGATGTTAGTAGTCACTCTACATATTGACATAAGAAAAGGTCTAGACATTCTGACATAGCGGTCACCTTCAGGGGTTATAGAGTGTCAGTATAAAGCTCACTGGGTACACCAGAAATGGCATGATCTCACATTCAGTCTATGCAAGACCTAATATGTAAAATATTTCAAAACAACAAGCTTTTAGATGTGACTGTCCTTATGCTACATTACTCAAGCTTCTTCATGTTAAGGGAACTTATCTCCAGTGCAGGTCCATCCACAAATAGCTGAAGGGCCAGCATACAAGCAAGATAGCAGCTCTTGTTTATTTTTAAGTAAATTACTAGAGAAATAACTAGATACAAAAATACTATAGTAAGCAGCAAGTACTGGTACTCTCATATACTCACCGGATGAAGTTCCCCAATAATAAAGGTTTCTGACATTGTCCTTGCATCTGTGGAATGGCCAACATCCTCAAAGTTCTCAGTAGCATCTCCTCCAGCTTGCTCCCTGAGAACTTCTTCACCACCTGGATGCTGCAATTTTTAATAAGTTCAAATTTGTTACTGAAAAAAATTCCACATTCCAAAAATGAAAATTCTTCATTTCTAAAAATACTAAACAAAAAAATGCCCTGTTGAAAGGTCAGTTGCCAGACTTCTTAAAGCAAATATAAGCTCCACTACATAACTAGAGCTGTATGCTCTGAAGCCAAAAATAAGGAACCAAAGTATCTACTCCATCAGCAATGAAGCAGTAAGAGCCATCAGCATTTAGAATATTATCAGAATCATTCAGTCTTTTAATAGCCCAACTAGTATCTAAAGTTACATTTTCTGTTCTCACTTCTACAGGAACTGTGTATTTTTACCCAAACAACACTTTATATAGCAAAAGGATAAGAGCCAAAAATGTGCAAATTGTAGCAAACACATTTCAGGTGGATAAAACTGAAAAGCTAGTCACAAGAGCAGCAATCAAGCACTGAAACCTACTGGCAAAGGAGCATGCAGAATCTCCGTCCTTTGAGGCTGCCTAGACAAGGCACTAAGGAACTTGACCTTCAAGTTAATCCTACTTTGATCTGTGGGTTGAACCAGAGAGTCTTCAAGGGTCCTTTCCAAAAGAAGTTATTGCATGATTATCTAGTAAGCCAGCTCCTTTAGAACTGCTTAAGCACAACTGAAAGGTCATACAATAGCAACTGGGTTTTAGCAGACTATGGAATCCCCAAACCATGTTGCTGTATCCTAGTATCTCCTAATACCTCAACCCATCAGCATTCCCTTAACCCAAATCCCTACTCTCTCTTGACTTTTATTCTTCCCCAGGTGCACTTTTGGGATTGTGTGCAGTTCCACACTTCCATTCATCAAATAACCCTGTCTGTACATACTGCAAGACATACCACATGTTCTAGTTCAGCAGATTTACTCAGCTTTAAGTTACTCATTCATATAACAGATAAGCAACATGCCATAAAAATTCACTACTCAACTTTTAAGCAGGAAACTACTATATCACAAGGGATGATTAGGTAAGCAAGTTGAAAGCACTTTATTGCTACTGCCTTGGATTAAGACAACCATGAAATAAATTCTAAGACTTTACCAGTGACAGAGAAAATGAGGCTTTGGAGCTTCAATTCCCTTTTTAATGTTTCTGACTATAGGATCTTAAATTACGAAAATAGGCTAAATTTCTACTATTTAAGGTCACCTTGCCTGGAGTATAGCTGAACGGAAAGGCAATGCTTAGACAGCAGATAAAAAAAACGGCATAAACATTTCTGCTGGTCTAGGCAATTCAGGTTAGCTTTACTTCAAACACATCACATTAACCTGCTATCAGTTCTTCTCTTCCAACAAAAACAAGCCTTGTTTATACAGACCAGGAAGACACGATTTCTACCAGTTTCCAGCAAGACCAGAATTCCAAAACCTGAATCTCTGCATTAAAAGGCAGATATTTATTTTCATAGATTAAGAAAGTCGGAGATTTTTAAAGGGGGAAAATAAAAAACCACCAAAAAAACGTGTTGGGATTTTTAAGAGCCAAGATACCACAGCTAGAAGGGTAAAGGATCCCTACCATGACTAAGCAAAAGCAAGATTAAGCAACTGATCGAAAGATCAGGCACAGCAGCTGACCCAAAAAAGGTTAAAAGAGTACATGCAGAATAAAGATTATGCAAACAGACGTGTAAATATGGCATGCTCACCAAAATCCTGCCCTTGAGTGCATTCCGATAAGTATTCAGGGAAAGGAATGGACAGGAGTTGAGGGATTACTCAAGTTCAGTGCCTTGAAAGGTACAGTACATTTAAAAAGCCGAGTTTGTGTCTAACAGGCTTTCCTAGATATTGCCACTATTAAGTCTTCAAAGAATTCCTTCAGCAACGTGGGTTTGTGGGTTTCTTGGTGGATTTGTTTGGGTTGGTTTTTTTAATGCTAAAGAATTGCACTCCACTACATAGAAAAATGTGTGTAGCATCTTGAGCACAAAAGAAGGCAAAACTCCTTGGAAAATACTCTTAACAAGGCAACAAATAGCAAAAGGCACTGAAGTTAAACTACCCAGTAAAGCACTAGTAGCATGTACGCTCAGATTCATGCATTGCAGTGAACACAAACCCTACGCATGCAAACAGGTAAGACATTAGTTAAGCAAGTTGTGAAGATCACTATTTACACTAGTTCCCCCAAAAAACTCAGCAACTAGCCAAACAAGCCATTATCTACCAGTATAACTGCATATACATGAGAACTACTCCACAAAGTATTTTAATAAACTAGCTGCAGGTTGGTGGTTACAGAATGTTCCCATACTAATTTGTTCCCAAATCCCTCCCTTGTACCACTACAAAGTGATCAGGTAGCGATAACAGGCAACTTCACTGAAACACTCCAGCTTTTCTCTGTAGGATTAGGTTTTGGTCAAATTAGTAATTGATCCCTCTGTCTACAAAAACCCACAATATTAGCATGACCCCAGTGACTATAACCAAGCCTCTCAGCAGCCACCACACATCAGCTGAAGGGGACAAACTCACCCTGACCTCTGCTACCATGGCTGAACAACTCACATGAGCAAGACTAAGGCAGAAAGAATCACAAACAGCACTGCTAACTTAAGTCATCTAGGAGATCTTACTAGTAACCTACTATACATATACAAAAGTACTTTGAGACTAAACACTTTTAGATGGTACCTTGGGTTAGAGATGCAAACTTACAGACAATTAGCAAGTAATACAAGCAGTTATCAAGAAAACTTCACTTCCTGTAATGAAAGGGAGCAACAGTAATGTCTCACAAAGGCCAAGAAGTGACTTTTCTATCAAAAGCTGAGCATTTTCCACAGTTCTGTGAGTTCCTCAAAATTTGTTTATACAGGCCCTTTGTTCATACTTCTGCTTAGTAAACAAAGCTCGCTACTGGAATTTCTAAGAGCCTGTGGATAGACCCTCGAACTGAAAGCCCACAAAACTAATAAAGATAGTGACTCCTAAGCCAAAATCCTGCTGATAACAAGTAGTAAGTGTTTTTGCACTTAAAACTGTGGTTCAAGGGAAATACAAAAGCTTTTGCTGATAAATTAAGCTAGTTTAGCTCATTCCTAGATACTCCCAATAAAATAACATAGACATTTGTTACATGAATAACAGATGTCTCTAGAGCACCAGCGCTAGTGCACTGCATAGAGTAATCTCTAACAGCAGCACATTAGAAAGTTTTAGATAACCACAAATAAACAGTTAATCTCACTTCTCTTATCTGGGTCAGAAGTCTAGGATTACTTCATCCTGAACACCTATCACCTCTTCTCCCTCTGACTAGTCATGCAACTTTCTCAGTGTCATAGTTCAAGACACTGTTAAAGTACCTTAATTTACAACTCCTGCCCCCTTCTCCTTCTCCTACTGGGGGAAATAAAAGCTAAGGTTTAGCTTCTGGGGAAATTAGCAAAGGCGTCTACCAGTGGCAATCTTAGTACTTTCTGCACTAAGAATGCGAAGCAGAAAGGAGTAGTGACCATAGCCCAAGAGACCTGGAGAACTTCAGCTTTATTGTGCAAGACAGACTAACACTTGTTTGTTTTAGGGCATTTTCATGTAGTCTGAAGAGTCTTCTACATTATTTCCATCACCTATTTAAAGTTGCAGGGCAAAAATCCTTTACTCATATAAAATTTTAGGAACCTAGACAAGTAGATGTCTGAGAGCATATTTTGGAAAACCATCATTAGAGTTTTTGATGAAGTACAAAAAAAATGCCCAGCAGCTAGATGTCCATTTCTCTGCTTAGAAAACAATTACAGCATCCATAAAAGGAGTGCTAAGAAGTGTTACTTTTCAAAGTAATTTTCAAATCCTCCTGTAAGCTCCATCAGGGCTTAAGGAAGTGCTAACACTGGTTTTAATCCTTAGACTGCAAGGTTCTGCAATACAAGTTCACATGATACATTGGCAAACATGAAACTGTGCTGGTATCAGCACCTTTTGATATAAGTTATTCATTACTTTAAACATGGAAGCTATTATGCTGCTCCTCCACAATATCATCAGAGTGGCTGAATAGAAAACTTACTACCACAGAGTGAAGAGAGCACTTTTTTTCTGAGAGTAAAACAGTATTTGTTTTTCTGCACTTTAATCAGCATTCCAAAGCACATTGCAGGAGCTGTCCATTTGTTTAGAAACAGTGCTATAAAAGCACTAATTCACACCTTATGGAAAAAAACACTTTCACTGGCCATTAATATTTTCAATAGACTTTGAGACCACTAATTGAAGTAACCTAAAAAAGACCTGTATTACATGATTATTAAAGACATAACATAGTTAGTTCCCAGAATTTCTCTGTGGTAAATAAGTTCCTACTCTTGTTAGTTTCTCTGCCTAACTTAAGGAACCCAAACAAGTTCCCACAAAAGCCAGTGTGAGAGCTTCTCACCACTATGGTAAGTAGATCAAGACACTGATAATTTCATTCTTATTTTTACAGGCCCAGCTACTCTTGTTTAGCTCAGTAAATTGACAAAGCCTGATCAGTGGGATTGCTTTATTAAAGTATTGCAATCATACTTAATCCATTAATTGATATTTAATATTATTTACAATTACCTGTAATATAGATACAGTCATAAGATCCTGCATGTACACATGCATGTCTAGTAGCTATCTTCCCTTAAATGATGCAAGATCTGAAATTATGAAAAGGTGTCCTAATTTTTCTAAAATACAGGTACAACAGCCTTTGAACAAGAAGAGCTATACAGAAGTTTCTGGTCTCAAGATGAGTCTTTCATGCAAAGAACTTTCAGATACTGTACTCCAAAAGTTGAGGTTTCTGGACTTCCTCTTCAAGAGGATATACTTTGATAATCAGAGAAATTTCACACATATATATGCACACACACACAACTTAGTGTTCCCAAGATATGCCAATTAAAAAGAAAAATTAAAAAAGCAGTTGCTGGATTTTTCATCTTCAGTAACCACTACGATAAGGTATCAAAGTGCACAATCCTCTT